GATAACCGTTATGTAGCCCGCGCTAACTTTTACAGTTACTATATAACATATGGTTTACTTAGATAAATCAATGTAGCCTAATGATATAAAACATAAATTTTTCACAATATATATTTAATTTTTCAACATAATCTCCTTCTTTTGTCAATGCTCTTAATTCAGTGGCGAATATTTGGCACATAACCAAAAAGTTCTTCTTCTTCTTCTTCTTCTTCTTCTTCTTCTTCTTCTTCTTCTTCTTCTTCTTCTTCTTCTTCTTCTTCTTCTTCTTCTACGTGTTATGTCCTAGGACAGTGGCGATCAGGGCTCTACACGATTTGTAGCTCTTAGTAAACTTTGTCTTTTCGCCATGTCTTCCTGTTCTGCCATCTATTTACCCAAGTTCGTTAGGTAGATGATGTACCGCTTTCCCCTGTCCAGCTTTGCTTCCAATGCCCTGTGAATGTCAAATTTTCTAAGCCCTCTTTCCTCATTATATGCACTAGAAATTTAAACTTTTCTTGTCAAGTATAAGTGTTGTTTTTATTTTCTATAAAACTTTGTCATTTTTAACATGTTCTCTTAATAGTATTCTCAGCCTCTTTCTGGAAAACCTCGTTTTCTGTTGTCTCGAGTTGCACTTATATGCCATATACGAGAACCGATTGGTTAATTGCTCAATTTTTATGGAGTTGGGATATGCAAAGTTCTATTTATCTCTTCACACTCTCCTTTTTTTATCGATAATTGGGTACCTTGGGAATAAAAGCACACGTAGGGTTTTTACACTTACTCATAAAGCATAAGGTCACAAAGATATTATTTTAAAAGTTAAGGCTTTAAAATAATTAACAAAAAGAAATATCAGTAGATTTCGATATTGACTCGTGTCTTGTTCAATGCTCTGTATTTTCGCAAGCGATGAAAGCAAACAATAGCACTGCATGTTACTAAACATTTCAAATGGAGGTGAATAAATATTACAGCATTGAAAAATTTTAATGTGCAGTTATCAAAAACCGTTCGAGAAGTTGACTTAGTTTGACCTTTACATTAATGAGAAGAAATATTTCTTTCGTTCGTATTGCATTGACACATTCTAGAATCGTTTATTAAATAAAGAGAACTTTTGCAGTGGCTCTGGATTGAATCACTATCGTCTGATTTCTGCTCCACGTGTCAAAGGAAATACTAGCGAGGTTATTGTTTCCATTGTTTAAATTTATTTCGATGACCCTCGCAATTAATACGATATTTATGCGTTTTGTGTAGAATTTGAACGTTTTTCTCCACCTTTGTCGTCGCCCTCTCCCTCTCTTTCTCATTCTCTTGCCTTCTTTTTTTCTCTCTTTTCCATTCGCTATCTTTTCTCCTATATTCTCTCTTACTCCCTCTCGCGATATCACGCTCTTTCTATTCCTTTTCTCTCTCTATCACTCTTGATATCTCTCTCCCTTTCTCTTCTTTACGTCTAACGTCTTTTCTTCTCTCTCTCTCTCTTTCTTTCTGCAACCCTCGTAATTAATACAATATTTGTAAGATTCGTGTAAAACTCAAACGTTTTTTTTCCACTTTAACCCTTTCTGACTTTCCCTCCCTCTCTCTCTTTCTATTATTTCTCTTCTTTCTTTTCATTTCCTCACTCCTTCTTTCTTACTATTTTTTCTCTATCCTTAACGCTCTTCGCTTCTTTTACTATGTCCTTTTCTCTCTCTCCCCACCTCGCTCTTTCTTTCTCGTCTTTCTCTTTCGTTCCCTTTCGCTCTATAGCGATCTTTCTCTTATTTCTCTCTCCACCTCTCTCTCTCTCTCTTTCTTTCTCTCTCTTTCTTTCTCTCTCTTTCTTTCTCTGTTTGGCGTGATTTTGATTTGAACAAAAGCCTTTGACATTGTAATTTCCATAAATCATTGCATTGCACATTTGGCATAAATTCACGGAATAAAAAGAATCCATTATTCGAAAGAGGAGCCGCAAGTATGAAGAGATATTCATGTTCGAATTCCATTCTGCGAGAAAACAATGGGTTCTGTTTATGGTGCCTTCAAGCAGTAACCCTTTGAAGAAATTTCAAAACAACGTTTTAATTAAACAGTAACCCAAAATCAAATATACACGAGTACATAATATATATATATATATATATATATATATATATATATATATATATATATATATATATATAGAGAGAGAGAGAGAGAGAGAGAGAGATACACATAAACATATATATATATGTGTGTGTGTGTGTGAATCACTTTAAATGTTATTTTTAGTGGATACTCGTATTAGAGTAGGCTCTCGGTATATCTTGCAAACAGTGTATGTATTTATTTTCACCTACCGGCTTGAACATACTGTTTAATAAATAGACGGAACGCCTATTAAAATGCAAGTATCTTTATTCTTAAAAAATAACGTTTGAAGTAACACAAATGTCTCGGATTAATACAAATACAACATATATATATATATATATATATATATATATATATATATATATATATATATATATATATAATACAA